CAATAAATGTTCTGGGGAGTTTTCCCACTGTTTTCTTCCAATAGTTTCATAATTTCAGGTCTTATTTTCAAATCTTTAATCCATCTTGATTTTCTGCATGGTGAGTAATAGGGGTTCGATTTTACTCTACTGTATATAGATATCCAGTTTTCCTAGCACAGTTTTTTGAAGAGACTGTTTGTACCTTTTTTTTTTTTTTTTTTTTTTTTGAGATGAAGTCTCCCTCTGTTGCCCAGGCTGGAGTGCAGTGGCACCATCTCGGCTTGCTGCAACTGCCACTTCCTTGGTTCAAGCGATTCTCCTGCCTCAGCCACCTGAGTATCTGGTATTACAGGCATGCGCCACCCCTGCCCAGCTAATTTTTGTATTTTTAATAGAGATGGGTTTTCACCACGTTGGTCAGGCTGGCCTTGAACTCCTGACCTCATGATCCACCTGCCTCAGCCTCCCAAAGTGCTGGGATTACAGGTGTGAGCCACCTGACCAGTCCCTTTTTTCCATTTTTATGTTCTTGACTCCTTTGTCGAACATGAGTTAGTTGCTAAGTGCCTGGATTTGTATCTGAGTTCTCTATGCTGTTCCATTGGGCGGTGTGTCTGTCTTTATGCCGTATTATGCTGTTTTGGTTACTGTAGCTTTGTAGTAGGTTTTGAAATCATATAGTTTGATTGCTTTGGTTTTGTTCCTTTTGCTCAGGTTGCTTTAGCTATTTGGGATCTTTTATGCTTCCATACAAATATTAGAATTGTTTTTCTATTTCTGTGAATGCCACTGGTATTTTGATAGAAATTGCATTGAATCTGTAAATTGCTTTGGGTAGTATTGTCATTTTAATATTAATTCTTCTAGTTCATGAGCATGGAGTATCTTGCCATTTTGTTTGTGTCCTCTTCTATTTCTTTCACCAGAGTTTTATAATTTTTCTTGTAGAGACCTTTCACTTCTTTGGTTAGAATGACTTGTAGGTATTTTATATTGTTATTGCTATTATAAATGAGATTGTTTTATTTTTTTTCAGAATGTTTAATTTCTATATATAAAAATTCTACTGATTTTGTATTTTTATTTCATATTCTTTAACTTTATTGATTTTTTTAAATCAGTTCTAATAGTATTTAGTGGAGTTTAGGTTTTTTCTAAGTATAAGATCATGTTTTCTACAAAATAGGCTAATTTAACTTCTTCCTTTCCAATTTGGATATCCCTTATTTCTTTCTCTTGCTGAATTTCTCTGCCTAAGACTTCCAATATTATGTTAAATAATGGTAATGAAAGTGAGCATTCTTGACTTATTTCAGTCTTTGGAGGAAAGGTCTTCAGTGTTTCTCTATTCAGTATGATGTTAGCCATTGGTTTGTCTTATATGGCCTTTATTATTTTGAGGTATGTTTCTTCTGTACCTCCTTTGAGCTGCTTTTGTTGCTGTTGTGTCCTGGTCTGGTTTGGGTGTATTAGGGTAATGCTGACCTCAGAGGATAAGTTTGGAAGTAGGTCCACCTTGTCAGTTTTTTTTGTTTTTTGTTTTGAGGAACTGGAGTAGGATAAGTATTAGTTCTACTTTAAATGTTTGGTAGCCTATCAAGTCCTGGGCTTTTCTTTAATGGGAAACTTTATATTCAACTTTAATCTTGTTATTCATTATTGTTCTGTTGAAGTTTTCTATTTCTTCATGCTTCTATTTTTCTAGGCTGTATGTGTACAGAAATTTATTCATTTCTTCTAGATTTTCCCATTTTTGGAAATATAGTTGTTCATATTAATCTCTAAAGAGTCTGTATTTCTGAGGTGTCAATTGTTATATCCCCTTTTTCATTTCTAATTTTATTTATTTGAGTCTCTTTTCTTAAATTTTTGTTGATTTTGTTTACCTTTCCAAGAAGAGAGGTGTTTTATTGATTTTCTGTATTTTTTTTTTTTTTTTTTTTTTTTTTTTTTTTTTTTTTTTTTTTTTTTTTTTTTTTTTTTTTTTTTTTTTTTTTTTTTAGTCTCTGATCTTTATTATTTCTTCCCTTCTCCTACTTTTGCATTCGCTTTGTTCTTGCTTTCCTATTTCCTCGAGATGCGTTGTTTGGTTGCTTATTTGAAGTCTTTCTACTTTTTTGGATATAGGTGTTTATTGCTATAAACTTCCTCTAAGTGCTGCTTTTGCCATATCCTATTGATTTTGGTATGTTGTAGATCCATTTTCACTTGTTTCAAGAATTTTTAAAATTTCCTTCTTTATTGACTCATTGGTTATTCAGGAGCATACTGTTCCATGTTTCTGTATATTCTGATGATCCTCTTGTTACTGATTTCTAGTTTTATTCCACTGTGGTCAGAAAATATATTTGATAACATTTCTGCTTTTAAACAATTTGTACAAGCTGACTTTACAGCCTAGCATATGGATTTATTTGGGAAAATATTGTACATGCTGCTTTTAAAAAAATGTGTCTTTTGCAGCAGTTGGGTGGCATGTTTTGTCAATGTCAGTTAGGTCTATTAGATATGGTGGTACATTAACTCTGTTGTTTATTTGTTGATTTTTGTCTGGCTGATCTGTTCATTACTGAGAATGAGGTGTTTAAAACCCCACTATTATTGTTTTACAATCTATCTCTCCTTTTAGGTCCATTAATGTTTGCCTTATCTATCTGGGAACTTTGATGTTGGATACGTAAGTATTTATAATTCTATCCTCTTCCTGAATTGACTCCTTTGTTATTATACGGTGACCCTCTTTGTCTTTTCTTACAGTTTTTAAATTTGTAGTATATTTTATCTGATTTAAGTAAAACTCCTACTGCTCTTTTTGGTTTCCAGTTACATGGAATTTTTTTTCAAGCCTTCACTTTTATTCATGTATGCCTTTATAGGTGAAGTGTGTTTCTAGAAGAGAGCATATAGTTGGATATTGTTTCTTTATCCATTTGCCATTCTATGAACTTTAATTGGAGAATTGAGAATATTTACACTCAGTGTTATTATTAAGGATTTCTTTTTTTTTTTTTTTTTTTTTTTTTTTTTTTTTTTTTTTTTTTTTTTTTTTTTTTTTTTTTTTTTTTTTTTTGTGGTTACCATAGGACTTACAAAAAACATCTTATAAATATAGCAAGTTATTTTAAAGACCTGATAAATCATCTTAGATTGCAAATAAAGGAATATAAGCAAGGGCAAAAACAGGCAAAAAAAAAAAAAAAAGTCTATACTTTAATTCCACTCCACCCCCACATTTTGACTTTTAGTTTTCTCAGTTTACATGTTTTATATTATCTGCATCTTAAAAGGTTGCTATAGCTATCACTGTTCTTGAAAGGTTTATTTTTTGGTTTCATAGTAGAGTTATGCATGGATTGCACAGCACAAATATGGTAATGAAGTATTCTAGGTTTGTCTATGTACTTAACTTTACCAATGGGTTTCATACTTTGAAAAGTTTTCTTTTGCATGTTAGTGTCTTTTTTCTTTCAGACTTGATAACTCCCTTTAGCATTTTTTGCAAGATGGGTCTGATGTTGGTGGATTTTTTTCAACTTTTGTTTGTCTGTGCAAGACTTTATATATTGTTTATATTTGAAGGACATTTTTCTATGTACAATATTCTTGAATGTCAGTTTTATTTTATCCCAGAGTGCTTTGAAAATTTCATTCTGCTATCTCTTGAACTGCATGATTTCTGTTGAGAAGTTTGTTGTTACAGGATTTAGACCTCCTTTATATGCTATTTATTTCTCATCTCTTCTGCTTTTAGGATCGTCTCTTTGCCCTTGACCCCATGTCTTGGGGTAGTACCCTACTATATCTCGGACTACGCTTTCTTAGATAATATTTCTAAAGGTGTGGGTTGAGGAAGTAGAAGAGAATCAGTACCTAAGCAGTTAAACTAATGTGGGTGGAGGCCTATTTTATAAAGATCTCCTTGAGAAAACATTGATACATTATCAATAAATGACCATAATTAGAGGAAACAGATGTGAATGAATTTTGTCATCTTGAATCTCAAAAGCAAAAATGGCTTATGTAATTGCTGGGTGTTTTTCAAATTCCAATTTTAAAGCTGAATTTGAATCTTAAGTTATGGGACCACTGATAGTATGGTGGGCTAAAGAATCAGGATTTTAGTTGGACTGTCTGGGTTTGAATTGTGATTCTGCCACTTACTAACTGTTTGACTTGGGGCATGATCGCTTCACTCCTCTATGCTTCTGTTTCTACAACTCTAACATGTAGACAAACTGATAATTTCTTCATATATTTGCTCTGTGGGTTAAATGAGCTAATCTATATAAATCACTTACTATAGTACACTATAGTTCATGTCAGAAAAATTTGTGACTTTAATATTTATATAATTGAGCTTAAAACTAGAATCTAGAGAGACTGTCAGGCATTGTGAAATTTGGCTGTGTATTCGCATATTTTAGTCAGATTTGGTGAAAAAGTAATTACTTAATAAAATATAATTACCTATTGAGCAAATTTTACTAGGAACTATGCTAATTGATTTATATGCATCATTTCATTTGATCTTCAAGACCATAAAAGCTGGATTGTATTTTATTATCCATTTATAAATGAAGAAATTAAATTCAAACAAGTATACTACTAGCAAGATCCCACAATTATTAATAGCAAGATAGCTAAGATTCAAACCTAGGTACATCTCATTCAAGTGTATAACATCATACTGAGGACTTGGTTCTTGGGGGTACAAATTTTCCATTGTGTGAACCGGATAAAGTTACATAAATTATCTCTTTTCATGTGTACCATAAAAATAACGATACTGTCTAACTTACAGGACTGTGTTAGCTGTTACAAATAAGCATGGTTAAGGAAGAGCTTCTAAATTATTATGAAATTTTGAGAATTTTTTTAATATCCCATCTCGTTTTTATTATTTAACCACATTGAACACTTTCAAAGGTGTTTTATACATTAAAATGTTTTTTAAGTCCATGAATTTAGTAAATTAGGTGAAAACAGAAAAAATATACATATATAAATGATGCCGCTCATTACCTTATACACATTATTTGACCAAATCTTTTATTAATTACTTGGTTGACTGGTAATCACCCAAGACTGTTTGGTTTATTAAGATATTCATTGTGGTTCATGGAAATTCAGAATTATCTGAAAAAAATAAAATGTTGGGCTCTGCAATTCCTGTCTGAGAGATTTTCTGGAATTCTTTTTGTCCTCCCTACCTTTCTGTTTGTCAGAAGCATATCTATTACCGAGTGATTCATGTCAATGAAGACTATTACAGGAGTAGGCCTTACTTTTTCTTTCTTTTTGTTTTTTTTTTAAGTTATTTTCTTCTAGAACAATATTTTCAAACAGTTGTGTTTCTTTCTTTCTAGTGTTTAACTCATTAAACATAAAATAGCTTTCTAAAGCCGAACAGACCAGTTAAAAGTTATCTCTGCTTCACGGCGCATGTTCAACTAAGATTTAACGTTAGCATATTGAGTATAACTTTTTAAGAATCTTTTTATTCAGAAATTGTAAGCTGTACAAAGTAAACTGAATATTATAATGAATTTTCAGGTACTTATGACACAATTTGAACAATTATCAACATTACACCTATCTTGTATTCTCTACACTTCTATTCACTATGCAATCTAATCATCTGTATTGTTAGTATTATTATTTTCCTTTTCCTTATTATTATCATTCAGAATCTTTGAGATAAAATTTATGTAACTTGAAATGTGAAAATCTTAGCTGTACCATTTTGATAATTTGACAAACCACATCACCTACATCCCTAACACAACAAAGTATTTCCACCTCCCCAGAAATTGCCTCATGTCTCTCTTCATTCTTCCATCTTTACACCCATCAAAGGTAAGCAGTGCTCTCATTTTTTGATGCTAAATTAGGTGTACATGTTCTAAAACTTTATAAATAGAATAATACAATATGCACTCTTTTGTGTCCTGATTATTTTCCTTCGCAAATATGTATCGCTAATTTTAACATACCCAGAAACATAAACCTCCCCAAGACTCTTTGTACATATTCCCAGAAGCATATGTCACTGAAATGAATATTCAAGGATTCACCACGCAAAGTGTGTCCTCACCAGGACAAAGCTCAGGTCCTATGCCTCCTTCCATTTTATGTCAGAGTAATGTCATTTTTTTGTTGTTGTTCTCATGGAAATATGTAAAATTGTTTTTTCTTCATCTACAAAATGTTAAAACTCATTAATAAGCAATAATAAGCCATGGAATTTTTCATATTTGCAAAGCTGATATTCAGGTAATAGGACCTGATCCAAGCTCCTGTGCTGTCAGAGTATCATCTGTCTCCATTAGAACTCACCCCTCTTCCTGGGTAGTGTGTGGACAATGCTGTTGCGAATTTCTTTGGTTTTGATACTATAGACAATGGGGTTGACCACAGGGGGAAAGAAGAGGTAAGCATTGGCCATGACAGTCTGGAGAAGTGGAGGTAAATGTCGTCCAAAGCGATGCATCAAGGAGAGGCTGACCATGGGCACATAGTACACAAGCACAGCACAAATGTGTGACACACATGTGTTCAGTGCCCGCCACCGCCCTGCTCCAGAAGCTATTTTCAGTACTGTATGAAGAATCAGCACATAAGAAACCACAATGAGCAATGAGTCTAGTCCAAATGTGAAGGTAATGACAAATAGACCCAGGATGCTATTGGGGCGTGTGTCTCCACAGGGCAATTTGATCAGATCCGAGTGGAGGCAATAAGAGTGTGTGAGGGTATTGTGGCCACAGAAAGGCAGACGCTTCAGGAGAAAGAGCAGTGGGAGCATGAGCGTTATACTTCGCAAGGCAATGGCAACACCCATCCCAGTAATGCGGGCAATTGTCAGGATGGTTGTATAGCGCAGTGGGCTGTAGATGGCCACAAAACGGTCCACTGACATTGCCAGAAGGACACCTGACTCCATGAGAGTGAAAGAGTGCATAGAAAACATCTGAAGCAGACAACCACTAAAACTGATATCATTAATGCCAAAGAGGAAGATGCTTAATACAGTGGGCATGGTGGAAGCAGAGACACCAAATTCCACAAAGGCTAGCATGGCCAGAAAGTAGTACATGGGTTGGTGCAAGGAAGAGTCAATTCGGATGATGTGAAAAATGAGGCCATTTCCCAGAAAGTTGATGGTGTATATCAGGCAGAAGGGGATGGATATCCATATATGTTCTGCCTCCAGCCCCGGGATGCCAACAAGAGTGAATGTTGAAGGTGCAAATTTTATGGAACCATTGAAAATGTCATGGTGACACTTTCTCTGAAGATATTGGGAAGCCCATGGAGACTGAAATATATACGTTTCTATTCAGTTATTGCACATCAAAATCTAAGCTTCCAACAGTCATATCTAAGACATTTCCTCAGAAACGTGGATGAAAAATTGATTTCTGAGAAAAGGGCACACGTAAACCACGGTGAGTGGATGACAAACCTAATCGGTCATACAGAAAAGTATTCCAACATAGGCTATATGCCAAATACAGAAGGCATTAATAGAAATCTCAAGTTGGGTCATCTATGGCAGTGAAAAACAGTTAAAGTAGCATGGAGATGACAGATTCACGTGAAAATTATGACTGAAGAAACTGGTAACTTGTAGTGTTTATAAAGGGAGTAAATGAATAGTCAAAGTAATAGAACACTAATAAAGAATATCCATAGTTCTAACTTTTAATTGACATGTAATCTTGGGATTGTATTAAAATTGATCTATATTACAAGTTATCTGAGACCCAGATATTTGCTATAAACAATAATAGTAATTTAAAATAATATTTATATATTTTTATCCTTATATGTGGAATATATTAAATATTAAATGTATAGAATAAAAAGAACAATTTAATATATTAGAACACAAGGACAGTATCTCCTAGAATAAAGTATTTTCCATTTTTTCTTTAACTTACCAGTTCACTCTTTCTCCACCTGCTGTCCATAGGTTAGGAAAGCTCCTCTGTATTTTGCAGAAGGGTCAGAGTCTTCTGCTGGAATCTGGGTTCAGAGAGGCATCAGTATCTCACAAGTCACATGTGATGGTGGGGCTAAGGTGCAGGCTTAGAGATATTTATCTGTGAACAAGATTATTAACACTAAAGTTCCACTTGTATGCAGCAGAGCCTTAGGTATTAATGTTGGAGGCCAGAAATGGAATTCAGGATGGGGCTCAGGGATAAGAATGTGACTAAGGCTGAACTATTTTTCCCATGTTGGGCCAGGGCTCTTGGTTAGGCATAATTCATGAGCTACTAATAAATATTTCCAAATAAAAATGCCTGATTTTTACCATATCAGTTTCTGTGTTTTAATTACTCCTATCACGATCAATTTCAGACTACCAATGAGATGCTATTAAATGCAGAGCTGAAATGCGCATAATCAGCTTTCCTAAGCTGGTGCAAGCCAGCACATTATGCCATAAGGCATAACTATAGTTGGTTCTAGACCCCAGACACTTACCTAGGTGGAACTGAGAGCTACCACATCAATCAGTGCATACTGTTTGTTACTGTTTACTTTCAACTGGGCTATGGGCATAGTTGCTACTGCTCCATATATGTGCCTAGTTGACTGGAGGACCCAGAAACAGAATGAGTCAGAATCCCTCAAGAAGCAATTAATGAAGAATAATTATTTCCAGAACCTTTGGGTTTATTAGAGAGAAAAGGGGGGAGTAATTCCCACTGAGAGGCATGCCAGAGACTGTGCGTAAGAACATGCCAATATCAATGCAAAACCCAAATAAATATAAAATAGTTATATAATATCATTAATTATAATTTAAATATGACATTGGTTTATATTTCTTATATATTTTCCCTGCATCTTTTAACTTTGTTAATTTTGTCATATACGATCATTTATAAAACTTTTCTGTAGTCGAGTTAACATACTTTTTATTTATATTGTATACTTTTCATTTTTAAGAAGCTATTCCACACACAGAGTAAAAACTAGAGAGATTCAGAGTTGGATCTAGAGCTAGAGACAGAGCTGCAGATAGGGATAGCAGTGTAGATAGAGATAAAGAGAGACAGAGACAGGTATCGTGCTAGACAGGCAATAATAATGTTAGAGAGAGAGACTTGAGTCCATCTGAAATTTGTTTTGGGGACTTGAGTAATTAGGGGTTTTACTTAATTATTCTCAAATGTATAAACATTTTTTCTAATACTATGATCGATGTTTGGTCTCCAAGCATTTTGAGGGATTACATACATTTTATTTTAAATTTTCTTATAAATATGGATCCATTTCTTGACTATTACCTGTTCTTTGACCTGTGCCTTTTTTGTTATTCTGTTTTTATATATGAGTTCATATTCAATTGGTCATGCTATGTTTTTAAGTTGTAATGCTGTTTTTTTGTATCTGTTATTTCAAATAAGAATTAAAACCCAGAATGTATAAAAATAGAGCAATTACCAACATACAGCTAAAGCCATAACTCTCTCAGAAGGAAACACGGGTAAATCTTCATGAACTTTGATTTTACAATAGATTCTTAGATATGACACTAAAAGGATGAGTAACAAAAACATACATAAATTGGATTTCATTAAAACAAAAAGTTTGTGCAACAAAGGAGTTTATTAAGAAAGTAAAAAGAGAGCCTATAGGATGAGATAACATTTTTGCAAGTGATATATTTGATAAGTGTAATATCCAGAATGTATGAAGAAAGTCCTACAACTCAAAAACAAAAAGACCAACAACTCAATTTAAAAACATGCAAATGACTTGAATGAGTAATTTCTCCAAAGAAGATATACAAATGACCACTGGCGCATAAAACACAAACCAAAACCACAGTAAGATGCCACTTCAAACTTACTAGAATGTCTATAATGTAAGAGAAACAAACAAAATGAAAAGTAACAAATGTTGACAAAGATATAAGAAAATTGGAATCCTCATATATAGCTGTTAAAAATGTGAAGTGGTGCAACTTCTGTAGAAAATATTTTGATGGTTCTTCAAAAATTTAGACATTGAATTATCATATAACCCTAAAATTCCTCTCCTGGGTATATATTAAAAACATACATAAAGATTTAAACAGGTGCTTATACTGAAATGTTCATTGTAGCATTATTCACAACAGGCAAAAGGTGGAAACAAAGAGAATGTACATAAACGGATGAATGAATAAACAAATGTGATATATACACCCAGTGGAATATTATGTAGCAATAAAAAAGAATGGAGTACAGATGCAGTAAGTCCTCATTTAATGTTATGAATACGTTTTAGGAAACTACAACTTTAAGTGAAATGATGTACAACAGATCCTCAAATAGCACTGTTTTATCCAACGTTGTTTTGTTAGATGAGAAAAAAATTGATATCATTCTATGTCGTTTGGCTTAAAGTTTCAATTTCCAAGAACGTATGAAGGGACAACATTAAGCAAAGACTACTATGTATGTTATAGCATAGATGGACTTTGAAACATTATGTTGAGAAAAATAAGCCAGACACAAAACAACGAATATTGTAAGATATCTATTTATATGAATTATCTAAAATAGGCTGATTTATAGAAACATATAGTAGACAGAGGTTACTATTGGACTGTGTAGTTATTGCCTAACAGGTATAGCATTTCCGATTGGGTTATGAAAATGTTTTGGAATGACATCATGGTGATGGTGGCACAATACTGTGATTATAATTAATGACACAGATTTATACTGAAAAATGGTTAATATGGTGAACTTTATTATATATGGTATATGGTATTACATGTAGTATATTTATGTACTTTATCACAATAAAAATTGAAAGAAATACAAAACACAATACAAATTATTACTTTGAATTGAATTTATTATGCGTTGTTTTGGAGAAAATTGTTATTATAATAAACTATGTACAATAAACAATTCTTTCATTTATCTTAGGCATATGTACATTTCTATTATCATTTTTGGTGTTTTTTTTTTTTT